ATATATATATGTTTCTATTTTTTATAGCAAGATTATAGACAACCCTTTTTTATATAAAAATTCATTGAATTGTGACCCTAAGAGTGAGTGGTTGGGCGGCATAGCCACAATGTGACAAGGATATACAGCTTATATGTGAGTACAAAAATGAGGCTCATTTAGAAAATAAAAAAATACTTATAAAAAAAGGAAGTATATGTTGATAGGCTCTATGCACGTAAAAGAGAAGGACATTCTAAAAATAATTTAGTCTTACACAATAGTTCCTAATAAACAAAAATAGTATTTTGGGACTGAGTACTGACATAGGAGCTAAACAAAATAATGCCACATCCCACTTTTATGAGGATGGCTATCCTTCTAACAAAGTAACAATTTGTTTATTATTAGTAATATTTTGTTTATTATTACCCCAAATCTCATACTATATCAATGGTGATAGACATGCTTTTCTTGTTATTGGGAATCATTTCTCAATTGTGATAGAGAAAGTGCTCATCGTTACCAGCCTTTTCTGGTTCTCGGGAGTCACCTAAATCTAATCAGATGATAAATAGACCATTAATAACTGAATATATTATGCTCCCTCAGGTGCATGCATATAATACATTTAAGCACTTAGACAAGAACTTGATAAATTTTTTAATTTGAAATTTCGGGATCCATTTGATTATAACTAGATATATATTTTCGAATAAAAAGTTTGGATTTTGATAGATAATTATTTTTAAAGGAAAATTTTTTGATATATGATTATTTTGAAAGAAAGTTTTTTTTGGATTTGAGTTCTTGAAGGTTAGGATTTAATTGCCCTATTAAATGCGGAAACATGAATTTTAAAAGTTAGATTCCGCCGATAATGTGTCATAAACCACATACCACAACCGATCTAATGGTTCACCACAACTGATATGTAGATAAATAAATCATAAAAGCACATTAACGGCTACATCTTACAACATCACACATTTTTTGGTTCATCCAAAAGCTACATGTCAAAGATTTAGTGGTTCACCAAAAAATTACATCTAATAACAACATACCCAAAAACACTTTTAAATCTGCTCTCACAACAGCACACCCAAAAGCACTAAATCTGCTCTCCTGACCGGTACCACTGTCAATCTTTGACTCTCATCTCTTTTCTACGAGGTTTTCAGTGTAATATTGATATACATTCTCTTTTAGTCACATACCTTGGTTGCTCATTTCTAGAAACATTGGTTGGTTGCTCGTTTCTAGCTCATTTCTAAAAACATTAATTTGGTTGCTCGTTTATAGCTTATTGCTAAAAACATAGGTGGTTGCTCGTTTCTAGCTATTACAAGTATCACAATAGTAGAATTTGAGTTTTATGAATGGTATATCAAAGCTGAGTGTCCTCCAACCTTTCAAAATACATTATCTACTGAATTTGGGTTTTTTTGAATGGTATATCAAAACTATCGGTCTCCTCCAACATTTCAAAATGCATTTATTGCAGCCAAAATGAACTGTTAGTTTTTCACATAATAGCATAACAGTTTTTTTTTTTACATAATAACTCTCCTCCAATATACAAATGGATTTCTATATACTTCCATTGTGCTCATATTAAAAGTGTTCAACATAAATGACTACAAAAAAAACTCATGCAGCTTGTTAAACTTAACATGCCTATTATAAATTCTCACACGTATTGAATATATAAGGTGCAATATTTATAGTAATATTTATAACTCAAACCATATACATGACCACACCTCAAGTCATGAAAGAATCATACAGTGATGCACTTTAAAGATGGTGTGATGTTTTATTCCAAATTAATATTGGTAGTACGAACTAACACAACTCCATAAATCATGACAAGCTACTGTAAATTATAAAATTGAAATAGAATAAGGGTTCAAATGTTTATAAATCACATGATTTGTATGACCTCACCTGAAAGCATGATAGAATCTTATACTGCTGCACTGTAAAGATGGTGCGATGTATTTATTTCAAAACTAAAATTGATAAATTTTATTCTTACTTTAAACATCCATGCGAAGGATGAGGTTGAAAGGCAATAATACTTTTATTTTCGAATTGCTAATTGAAATTAATTTTAAAAAGCATAGAGTGGTCCAAAATTAGTAGGTGGTTCGAAGTTGCTAATTTCAAACTGCTTATTGGAATAATCATCTTGTTATTTTACTAGCTTACTAGAATTTTCGTGACCATTTTGAAATTCGCAACTTCAAATTGTTCTATACTTAATATATATATATATATAAAGTATGGAGTGGTTTCAAGTTGGCAATCTCGACTGCTCCATATTTTTGAAAAAATTTCCATGGAGTGTGAAGGTGGCACCTTTGAACCACTCCATACTTGGGAAATGTTTATACCTGGGACAGTTTTTGTAGTTACTTTCGAACCGCCCTACAAGTAGGGTAGTTTCATTGTAGTGGTTTCTATCGCCCTATTCATAACCAAAATTGAAAATATGGAAAAATATGGTTGGTTTTATATTGCTAATTGCCAACTGGTGGCAAAATTGGAATAAAATTGACGCAAAATTGGAATAAAAATGACAAGAAAAATGACATGAGACTTCATTTTAAAATAGATGTGGTAATACAACTTTTTTCCGGTTTGTGCATCAATTTTTGAAAAACTTATATCCCACTTTTCTGATAGAGAACGAAAGTTTGCATAGCGAGAACGAAAGTTTGCATAGAGAAACCCTACTCATAGTAGAAAGAGTTAAGCTCAAGTTTTGCTTCTCAACTCGTAATTATCACATCGGAAATAGTCCAAAAAAATATGACGATTTATGACCTCACTGAATATATGACATTTAATAAAACAAAATGGAGAACCAAGATTCATGCAGGCACCTTCAATTAATTGAAAAAAAACTAAAATGATGATAAACTCGTAATTATCATGTTCACTAAAGAATTGAGGAGCATCCATCTCATTGGGGATTTGCAATGTAGAACCGATCAAAATAGCTCTCGTTGTTGTCTAGCACAATAGCTCTCGTCGTTGTCTAGCGTGCCTATGCTAATCTGTTTTTGCATGCTGGGCTGGTTTTCTAGAGTGGTATTGGATTCCTCATGATCTTGAGCTAATCATTTCTGATCTGAAAAATCCTAGTTTTTGTAATTTTCGTTCCCTCGTTATTCTTTTAAAAGATTAGTATTAACAGATGGAGCCATGGCTTGTTTTGTGCTTTGCTTTCATAGCCAAGCAAGCCATGGCCGGACTATGATGTTATATAGCGCATGCACTAGTAATGTTGTGACAGTATATTGCACTGTTGCCTTGTACACCAGGCCAGGTATGCAGGTCTTACATGCTGGGTACATGCCTACGCCTCTGTCATCTGTTCAATGGATCTGCATAATTATAAAGGTATTATTATACACATGTTTAGTTCTATATTTTTAACACACTAGATTGAGAAGTGTTCCACAATGTGTTCAGTTTTTTCTCCACTATTGGAGCCTGTTAGTTTAAAAAATGCAGCAAATAAGCTGCTAATTCCACTTGACCTCAATGCAGTAGATCTTGTTTTGCTTTCACTTTTGAGCATTCATTCCGCCAAAAAGTCTTGCTTTTGGTTTGCTTCAGCCCGTACTTTCATAATAAGGAGAAGCCAAAAAGGTTCAACTCTTAACTGAAAAGAGGTTACTCTGCACAATATACAATACTCCACTTCTCTCAAATTCTTCTTCCGTTTGGAAGCTAGCTTTCAGTCCACCCAAGAGAGTTGCACGGCAGCGTTTAATGTTACTCATAATAGACTTGGAGGTGGACACAAACACATAATAGACCTGGAGGTTTAATGTTACTCATAATAGACCTGGAGGTGGACACAAACACATAATAGACCTGGAGGTGGACACAAACACATCTTAAGATGCTAAAACGCTCCGCCATTTACTCAAATATCAGCCTGGAGAGGAATCTACAGTCTTTAGCCTACACAAACACATCTTAAGATGATAAAACGCTCCGCCATTTCCTCAAATCTCAGCCTGGAGAGGAATCTACAGTCTTTAGCCTATGTATACAACTGAAAATGCCCACTCTTGCCTTCTTGCTCCTCTTTTGTGTGGTTAAGAAAAGTTACCAGATATTACACCAAAGGGATATTACACAAAAGTTTATCTCAATAAGCCAATCCAACATAAACAGCAAAGAAATATGTGAAAAAAACACAATTTGAAGCTCACACACATTACAAGACTGGAAAGCCACCACCAAATGAAAACCTCACCCTCCAGAATCTTGACTCTCACTACGCGAGCTGCTGCCACTCCGAGAGTGCAGCGAAAGGCTGCTGAACATCTCGTGATCAGAAGAGCCACCAGCCCTTCTCTCCTTGAAAAACTTTTCCCTCTCCATATGCTTAGCAGGAGGGGGTGGGATCGAAACCGCAATAAGGCGAGGAGGCCCTGTGTTGATATACGGCTCATCCATATTTAATGGTGCTTTTTCCAAACTTATTGGCCTTTTTTCAGCTCCATTTAGTGGTTTTTCAGAGCACATTGGCTTTTTCTCAACTCCATTTAGCGGTGATTTTTCAGAACTTGATGGCTTCTTCTCAACATTTATTGGGGACTTCTCTAGATTTAGGGGCATGCTGTTGAGATGGCGGCTACTAGAAATGGAGTCCAGGGAGCTAGACGAGCTTCCTGAACCGTCTTCAATTGTGGGACCCATGCAGGCTTTCCCTTTACGCATTCTGCAAAGTATGAGGCAGAATTTAGTTATCATTTTGTCTGGAACTATGGCAAAATTTGAAGAAATATAAGTCAAATGGCCTTATCAGGCAATTGGAAGTAGGTACCCAAGAATTAATTGCATGTTACACAAATACTCTCTCTCTCTCATGGTGGGAAAGTATTGAAAAAAGGTAACAGATGAAGGGTGAAAACGATTTCAAGCAATTGCTACAAAAGTCAAAAAATTACATCTATAAATTCTTTGAGAAATATACTTTAAACAGAGAACAATCGAGAAGTATGTCACTGGACATATAATATGTTTGAGCGTTTGAACAATACCAACACCTCAAAAGACTCCAGTGTCTAAGTGATTAGCTAACAGTGGATGTGGATCATTTGATGAGCAAGAAGCAACCAATGTCCATTTGGTGTCATGTGCAAGAAAGATGAACAAATGGCAAACCATCTTTCCATTCAATGTGAAATCACCACCAAAAGTTGGAACCGCATGCTGAATTTATTTGGTTTTGAGCGGTTGAACCTGGGATGAATACAGGGCCTATTCAAGCACTGGATATATCTTCCATTGCCCACAGTTGGACTCTGGAGGCCAAGTATTTTTGCAGTACCATCGTTACTTGGACAGAGAAACAGTTGTTAACATTAATTCCAAATTTCCTTGTAAAGATAAGGCTAGAGCTTTGATCTTCTCATGGTCTAAAGACAAGAATTCTCGCCAATCAGTACTGGACTTGGGATAAATGCCAATAAAGATTGTAGCACAGGCCATGTAAAGGAAAAAGATGTTCAGGTAATGGACGCCATCGAAGAAAGGAAACCTGACATTGAATTTTGATTGGAGTTCAAAAGGAAATCCAGGGCTAGCTTGCATAGGAGGAATGTCTTGGACCATTTCAGAGAAATACTAATGTTTTTTACTCTAGATAACTTCCAAGGTTCGATGCAAAGGAAGCTGAAAGCACGGGTGCTACAGTTTTAACCAAGAAACCGGCATCTAGAATGGAGAAATATACAGATTGAGAAATTCTCCCAATTTAATCTCATCGGCTAGTAGGAAATTTGACTACCCACAGAGGTTAACGAACATCCTTGGAGAAATTTTTAAGTTATTCAGGGACCTGAATGTCTTTTTCCCCTCTTGAACAGGAAGACAAACGATGTTGCTGATCAATTGCGAATGATAAGCGTTCTGAATATTTTTTTGAAATCACAATTTTGTAAAGATACTAAATGACAGAGTAGAATAAGGTCCAATCTTTGTGAACATGAATCATCCATGTGATTCAGTTTTCTTATTGATGAAATATATTCACTTTTAGAAAAATCTGGAAGAACAAGAACATACCTTCGAAACAGGTGGTGTGAGTCATCATCTTCTTCTGCTTCTTCATGGTCGTAAGCAGCACCAGAGGCTGAGGGAATTGATAGGAGCGCATCATGCCTAGCAAGCACTTTCTGCAACTCGTCATTCAACTCGATTGCTTGTGAAACTAGCTTCTCGTCCCTAGTAAATACAGAAGGACCACATATTGAATACAATTACTATGTTGTGTGTGTATGTGTTTGTGTGTGTGTGTGAGAGAAAGAGAAAGAGAGAGAGAGAGGGAGAGTCTAACCAGTTATCATTTCTAAACATATTGACACATAAATGAAAGAAATCAACTCTAAGGGAAAGAAGATTATTATGATGACTCAACAATATTTCTGTATACAAGAGTAGAATTACATAAAGTACGTAGTGGAAGGCTCAAATGGACAAGGTGTAGGCCCAAAAGGACATGACTGAAAATAGTAGAAAAGATATGGACTTATGGCCGCACTGAAAGTATGACCCTTAATAGAGCAGAATGGTGGACTAGGATTCATGTAGTTGACCCCAATTAGTTGGGAACAGGCTCTTTTGATGATCATGGTGGCTCGTGTCATTGCAAAAACATTGGAAGCATTAATGATACATGACTTCCCAAAGCCTTAATCTTCTTACTACTGAATTGTGGTGAGGAATTGAAACATAGTAATTCCTTGGAATGCCTAGCCTCGTAAGGCCTGAGTGCCTGGTGGTCCTTACCGAACGATGTTCTACCTGTGTCTCGAGCTAACCTAACGGATCTATGCTCCACAGTCTATGGCAGAGACACATAATTGGCCACATCAAAGTCATTGAGCCAAGGCTTCCCATCATCCGGAAGCTTCTTTCTACATATAGTAGAGATTTTATCCTTAAACAATGGCAAGGATATAAAAATATAGATCATATCATACCCTGGGAATAAAATTTCATCATATCCTCATCCCTGCCGAAGATGCATCTTCAAAAATCCTTATGAGAAAGAGATAGAGAACTAATAGTACGATATCTCTCTCTCTCTCTCTCTCTCTCTCTCTCTCTTCTCTTAGAGAAACTATTAGGACATTATCTCTCTCTCTCTCTCTCTCTCTCTCTCTCACACACACACACACACACACACATATGTTGGAGTTATCGCCTTTCAAGGCCTTAAATCCGAGATTCTATCATTCAATGAAAGTGAGTGAGAGAACATGATTCAATATGCTTGACGCAATAGAACCTAGAATCATATACCCAAAGTGCACGAGGCAATGAATTTGTACCGATGAGAGAGAGAAGCCATATTTTGAGGTGTGAGGGTCACCTCCAGTCAGGGGTACATTAAGAGAATATGCCTCATGGGATTGTGATTTGGCCAGATCTAAGAGAACCAAAAAGAGATTAGAACCTGAGTATATTTAAAGTAATAGCCCTGCATAAGAAAGTCATGACTCAAAGGACAAGAGTTGGAACCTTGACACTAGACAACTCTATGGCATGTGCACTCACAATCGCACAGGAAGCCAATCTACTGATGTGTTATGAACAAACTAGGAAGAGCTAGTACACATGTGCCTTGAGAGGACTCTTGTATATGAGTATTTCATATCCCTAAGGGTGCATATGTAATCTACTTATAAGTGAAAGTGTTGGAAAGTTGATCGGGTGACTTTGATAAATCCATATTATGCATCCTTGCCAGAGACTGCAAAGCATAAGCTTGTTGGGTCATTCCAAAAGAATGGACCATCGTTCTAGGACTAGTCAAGTGGAGTACTCCAATGCCTAGATCTTGACCATGAAATCTCATTTTCCCATTGTCCAATTTTATTTTGATTCCACAATAGTAATTTCAATGAAGAATGATTTGGAGAATTTTTGAAAATTTTGTGAATTTTTTGAAGAAAATGAGGATTTTGAAATTGTTCGAGTAAATTCCAAAGGAGGACAAACTAGTAGGGCCCACACGTGCCACCCAAGTGGCTGAGGGTGACATGTGGCCCTGCACATCAGCCCTAGGGTGATGACATAATCATGAAGTGGAACCCTTGTGGATTTCCTCTTCTGCCATTTGGGACATTGTTTTATGTGCTCTATAAAGTTTGAAATAAAATAATGTTTTAACTCCAGTGAATAGTATTAGTCACATGCTTAATTGCCACATGTGTGGCATTGATTCCATGTGCCTAAGGTTAAGGGTAGTCCTTGGTAATTTGATTTAAACCCTAAGTTTTTAATGGAAACCTTGATTTTCCTTTAAAGGAAACCTTGATTTTCCTACCTTCTTAAGTGGCATCATATCATTGATTGAACTCATGTGATTTTCATGGAATGGCACAAAATGATTGGATGAGCAATGTGGATTTTTTCATTTTTGAGAATTAAACAAAATCAGATTTACAAATTACCATGAGGGGTGAAAGGTGTGGCTATGTGGAACTCAAGTGATAAATTTGAAAAAATTTCTTTTTCTTTCATTAATATAGCTGGATTCCACTTACATGGGTCACAATACAATGCTGTAAATAAAAAATAAAACCCTAAATACAACCTAGGACCTTTCATTTTAATGCCAAAGCAAATAAACACTACCCAATAACAATATCCAGCCTTCCACTATGAATTTAAGTACAATATATGTTCTTGGAAAATCACAGAAAGTATGCAAATATGAATGATAAATAAATAAAAACGGTTGGGAGGACTCACTTGATCATGCCTAGGGTTACTTCCATAAGACTTGATATACCCCACACCAAATTTCCTGACTAATGGCACACTTTTATCCTTTTGATCTTGCTAGAATTTTAAAGATGGGAAGCTTTAATAGGCAAATACCTATTCATCGAGGGCTTTACCTATTTAGGGTTTGTAGGAACCCTTTAAGAAATTAAGAGCAGATTAGGGCTAGACTTGAGTACTTTATTTCTCTCTAGTCTGGGTGTACCTCTCTTTTCTTCCAAATACACCAAAAACCCTAACTGGGGTTTCAACGTGCTACCCCTTTTCTAATTTTTATGAGTAACATCACAGCTAGGAAAGAAGAGAGGGTATTGTGATCAAAATAAGAGAGAGAGAGAGAGAGAAACATTGTTTGGGGCGTGGAGAAGAGAGAGGTCTGTGTGGAGAGAGAGGGGTTCAATTGTGTCTAAATAGAAAGAATTTCTTCTCCAATTTGGATTAGAATTCCTTCTCTAGGTATGTTTATCCAATGACAAAGCTTAACCAATATGAATTTTAAAATCTAAAGAGTGAGATAGAACAAATATGAGTCATCCATCTCACAAATCAGCCATCATGATTTTGGTAGGATTAATAGGAACCTTATAATTTGAGCCAAGTCCACCTTCTCATTTAAATAGGATTATATCCAATCTAAAACTTCCTACTATCTTTTTCAAAATTTTGTAGGAAGTCAAAAAGATACCATTTATTTGGTCAACGCTACCGCCCACAATAACAAGAAACAAATCTTTCATTTTAAAACATTATCTAACTCAAAACTTTTAATTAAATAACGTCCAAATAATTAAAGAAGTGGGGCGTGCCACCCCTATGGGTCACAACTAGGCCCCAAAGGCCACATGTCCCACCCATAAGGAGTGGCACACTTGTGGAGGCTGGATCCAAGGTCCCCTCATTTGCCCTTCCTTATTTACTTAATTACATAAATACCATTTTCAAATATTTTACAGCAGAAAAAAATTTTAAAACATCTGAAAAAAAAATTAGAATTCATAGAAATATTTCTAATACCAAAAATAGAATATCAAGGAATGGACCAGTACATATGGGTCAAAATAAGTGATTATAAGGGCACTCCTCCCGACCCTATGACCACAATCCACAATTGTCTTCTCAAACCAACCCAACAAAGCCCCATGACCCACAGTCTTATGCAGATGCAGGGGCTCATGATTAACTTATCAAAGTTGGCTAAAACATAGAACATGGATTTCAGTTCCCCTCTCTTAAAAGCAAGTCTAACACCTGTCACTATAGTGCAAGGAGGACTTTCTCTACGCACAAGTACATGTATCCCTCTATTCTACGCACAAGTACATGTATCCCTCTATTGGGCATACAAGCCGTGCGGAAGTTTCTTGAGACTTTGGCCCTCGCTCTCACAGGCCTATAACTACACACAAAAGACCACACAGTTCTCTTGGCCTACAAGCATCCATGTACATCTCTTCAACCTCAACAAGAGATGATCCACTGTAAATCCTTCTCAGTAGTGTCACATGCTTAGGGTAAGGGATTTAAGACATAACCAAGGTCACAAACTGTCGAACTCTTTGTTAGTCAGCACACACACTCCCACTAAAGTGCACAATCCACTATAAATATCACTTTACATCCTCTCACAACCTTTAATGGCCACAAAACCTCAACAAGGGGCACACCCCTCTCACTTTGGTCGTTGATTTTCTAAAATATGAGATGGACAATTTTGTTATGTTAAAATGGCTTACGAGTTTTATTGAAGACTTATAAACAATGAGGCAAATTGGTAAAATCTACGGTTTAATGGGATGATAATAGTGTGAAATCATATCCCTTCATCTTGATGGCCAGATGGATGTATAGCTAGGATCATTGCCCTCTCATGTGTCATAGATGATGAGTATCAAGGGCTAAGATCATACCACTTAAGCCACGTTACCACTTGCCTATAAATATCCCCTCTTGGCTTCATTTCTAAACACGTTAACTCATTGTAAGAGACAGAAAGAGAGAAAAAAACTCCAAACCCCACTCTTGAGAGTTCTTCTTTCTTCATTTTGAGCAAGGTAGCTCACATGGCCATATGAAGTTCAACTCGCCATCCATGGTGTCTAGTCAATGAGGTAACCTTCATAGTTGTCATCTTTTCCATCCATTTTCTTGCTGTAAATATGTGAATACAGTCACCTCTTCATGAATCCATGCTTCATCCTTCATCAGTATTGAGTATCTTTTGAAACTACACACCCATACTACCTCATATGTATAGTTTGAGCTAGATTCATGCTATTTAAACACCAATTTTCCAAAGGTTTGTACCACCTGATTTCTCTGAGAATTTTGGAGTACCTTTTGATGCATAACAGCAAACATTTTATGTTCATTTGTTCATTTGAGTACTAAATTGTCAGAGTATCATCCTAGAGTCCTAGACTATTCTCTTTGAGAAACTAAACCCACATTCACTATACCATGGCTATATACTCCCAACTAATGTAAGCTGTATATACCTTGCTTTTGCCTACAGTTTTTGTCATTAAATGTTAGTCTATCTCTCACATTTTGAAGCTTATTAAGTGGTAATAAAGTGTGCATCAGCTTCCCATCAACTAAGTGGGATCAGCCCTTGTGACTTCAAGCCATCCTTACCATCAACGTTGGGGAACAAAATTAAGTCCCTAAAAGCTCTTGTGACATGGGCACAAGGGGTTCAACAATTGGCTTCCTACTGGTTCCTTGAACTTAGTTTGCTGTGATTTTGAGTTGATAAATGTTTTGTGTCATGGAGAAGTGAGTATGTAATGTTTTGAGTAAGCTTATGTTGATGTGAACAGAGTATGTGTAATCCTTGTGTATGTGAGTAAATGGTGCAGTTTGTTTCTCCATGTGTTTGTTTTTATGACTTTTGGAGTCCATAAGAGTGTTAATTTCCTATTTCTCATTGATATGAGTCTTTATAGAGTTCGTTTTGGGCTTGTAACAGTAAGCAAAAGTTGTAGGCACTCGCATGCGCTAGTATTTTATGAGAAATTTTCAAGTACATTGTTCAAGTGTAGTCAGGAACCTAGACTCTATATCACCTTCAACACACACAGACATCCCAAACGTTGTCACTCATCCAATAAAATAGATCTATATTCATATGGAGTATAGATAGTGAGAGACAAGAGGATTTTGTATCCTATTTGACCGTTATTCCTAAGAAGAGTGTAACTATAGTGGAAGTGAAGCAGCTTGAGAACTCCATGAGTATACTTAAAGAGGGCGTTCTGCGGGATTGCTGTTGGATGAGCCACGTTGACATTACAGTAGTTGCATATCAGCAGACAAAAGGACTGGCAGTCTATCAATAACTTGATCCATTCTGGAAGTATCCACACATGATAAATGTAACATACAATGCAGAATAATGCCAAAAGTAGTCCATCACCACTCAAAAAAGTGTTAGGAGTTGGTGTTGGAGAATGCATCTCATCAACTTACATGACAAGAAACCAACCCTCTACGAGTATATGGGCCACAGAAATGTAGGACATAACCCATAAGAGGACATAGAGAGTCTTTGTCTCCGGTTTACGTCAATGTGAAGTTGACCACGTGACAATTGCATTGCTAGGAAAATAAGAGTTGAAAGGATGGTATGTTTGCTCCCCTCTCATACAAAATGAAAATTTCATATTCACAATTCAAATTAAAATTCTCAACAAAACCTTTGATAGGGAAAACTATATGGACAAATATCTTTTTCTTTTTATGGCTAACATAGAGCAACAAAAGGCATGAAAAATCTGAGACAAATAAGAGAAAAAATATTGCTTGCTTTTCAATGCAAGTTTTCTACGACAAATGATTTTAAACTATTAAGTTTTCTTGCATTTGTTTTTACCTAATTTCATTTATCATGAATTGGTGCATATCAGTTTCTAAAAGAATATTTCAGATTCTACAAAAGCATACAGCCCTAAAGTTGGATTAGGATGAACCAAGCCTCAAACCATTCATTAAATAAACCCATCGCTATCACGAGAATTCATCCCAAAGAACTTACCGTGACTTCAGGACAAGATGCATGACTTGCTGCTTGTGAAATGCACATTGTTCGACAAGATCTAATGTGAACTCATCTGTTGCACCCTGCTAAATCAAAACCCCATTTTGTAAGCAAAGCCTGATAAATATGATACCCTCTATGTATGGTCCATGACAAGTGTATATACTGAGGAAATATGACTACAGTTATAGGGATCCAACCAAAAGGTGCCTATCTTATTATGACTAACAACATACAAAGTTATGTTCTTAGTATACCAATCAGGCCAATCATAACTTGATTTCAAGTTTTAACTGAAATTCAAACCAAATTTAAGTTGCCCATGAATCTTTCGTAAAATTTAACATCATAATAAATGAACTGTTTTTTATTCTTTTTTGCAAGAAATTCAGTCCAATACTCAGTCTCTTTGAAGACATCCTATAAAATTGGAAAGATACTCAGAGTCGAACATTTCCTAAATTTCACTTTAACAAACCATTTGGCTGGTTAAATTTGGGAGTCTCTGAGATTATAACTGAAGCCCAGTCAGCAATGAACACAGAGACCAAACTTTCAATTAGCCATTATATGACAGCAATGTGCCTTTGGAGAATCTTCATATTACAGGAGCAGTATCAAAGAAACCCAATTTGAGGAACCAATCATACCTCTGGCTTTTGAGAATTTATGCTGTCCAATACTTCTCTGAGAATATCCAAGACACCTCTAGCCTTCTGAAGGATACTGCAATGGGAAGATAAAGGTAAACAAATGCAGATGATTGTAATTGTCAACTACATACCAAAAGGAAAAAGAAGAATTAGATACTTTGCGTTTTGTTTGAAATTGATGAAATGTTCAAGACCATTGACATAATGAGAGAGAGAGAGAGAGAGAGAGAGAGCGAGATAAGTACTTCAAACATACTGTAAATGGTTAGAACTTAGATATATAATTTCCGTACACCATACTAAATTCCATACTACGAAAGTCACTAAAAAATTCTCTGAACACATTGATATATGTAACGACTTCCTAAATCTGACAAATGTGTCATCTTACCAATGAGTTTCTGAAAATTGGAACATAATTGATGGCATTAAAATTCATTGCTCCAGATACTTTTCAAGTTTTATTAATCTAGACGACAAATCTCTACATCTTTTACTTTTTATTTTCTTAGATTGAGTAAGAGACTAAATACATCAAACAAATAAAATGGGAATGATATGAATACCATACATACATATATGTATATAATAGCCAACAGTGAATACCTTGACTCTGAGACGCTATGACTGTTTGTTTGATGAACAATGCCATTGGAATCTGGAGCAGCTGATGCCTTGGCATGCGAATCATTTGGCTGAGCCTTTATGGTGTCTACATTTGGAGCAGCATGCTTAGGGCGTTGTTGAAATTGGACACGTGCAGACTGCCAAAGATTATGACTGGTTAATTTAATGATGGATGGATGGAATGTCTGAATAATTAGTATGCAATTAGCATTAATCTGGTCGACTTAATGAAAAGCAGTCTATTAACAACTTCCAACCAAGAAAATCCATAGTTACATTATAAGCTTGACAACTACTAGTAACAAATCCACAAGCACAAGCACAAGCACAAGGACAAGCACAAGCACAAGGCAAATGCGCCAACACTTATTGAAAGGGCTTGGTTTGATGGATATGGTTTTGTATTATATAACAAAAGTGAGATGCACTCTCTGAACGTAACACAAGATTCAATCCCCTGTAAAAACATGCATCCCACAGCCGCATACTTATACACAAAAATGTAGCAACACAGAAGTAAAATGTAGCCTTAAACAGAAGCCTTGCGCCTCTAGAACACATGTTCATGCAAAATAAATGCATAGAGAAAACCTTCACTTGAAGGATAGCCTCCCAGTAAAGAGAGCATTATGCCTTCTAGACGAAGTATTAATTACATCAACTAGAGAGAAGTCTAATGTTCAGACTTGGGAGAATGGAGGGATCAGGCAAGATGATTCAATTTCCAAACCACCTTCAGACAACAGAGCACATAAAATAGAAAACACATTTTCCACTTAATAGAGTCCTTCTTTTCATTTTATCGAGTACTGCTGCTTACAAATGCTAGTGGAGGACACATTGAAATACCAGGTTATGTTAACTGCCATTACCGGCAGCATGAAGAAGTGTTTCTTCCAAAGAGACCAACCAATTGATATTTACCAGGAAGATGTGAGTGCATGAAAAGCTGCAAGATGAATCTCAGTGTATGCAAATAAATCTCTGATGGCAATTTTCATACAGTTCTGCCAAGATAGAGGATGCAAGTTGGAGTACGAGGAAAGTAAGAGTGAACAATGATGTCCAGCTGGGAGGAGAGGGAACGGAAGGGGAAGGGGAAGGTGGAGGACATGATAACCACAGTTCTGCTTTTCTTTTTCATTCATATAAAAGCTCAAAACAACTCCTTAGTCAAATGGAAATGCTTTTGCTGAATTGGTGATCCACATACCCTTGAATTGGTTTCCTAGATCATTATTGGCATAACACTTTCCACCCAGTCTTCAAAAAAATTTTCCATCACTTCATTAGCTGAGAAGAATCTCGAAGACTTATGCTTGAGACGAACTTATTAAAAATATTAACTTCTCATACTCAGGAGATCAGTACATTTGGTTGAAGATCACAAACGATAAGTAGGTTTCTTCTACAATTGCAAACAAAGATAGTTTCCAGAAGTCTCAAAACGTAAATACACCAAAGCAATGCCAGGAACATATATTCTCTTTTATTTGCTGGTTGGAACGTTTAAGTTATTATGCTTTAGTACATTAAAGGAGACAAGTTTATCTCACATTATATGAAGCAAGCTGTACACCAAACCTCCTATCCATATGAATCCCCATTCATGTTGCCATTCATTTTATCTGGTTATAATGCCATTTTCCAATAGACTTCCCAACCATTAGTTAGTTTTGGAAATACCAATCCAATTTTCTGTTTATGATTATTCTTAGGCTTTGAGTTTCTCAATATGGGCCTTAGGTTTCCAAACACAAGGCAATAGTTTGATTTGAATAGAAGGCATACTTCTTTCACTCTACAGTACAGATATTGGAATATTCTATATGATGGATGCACTGGATGTTCCCAGGATAGGTACTTTAACAAAGGCCACCACGCATTCAATCAAGTCAGTCTATTGATTTGAATATTTAAAGACAAACCCAGTTGCTAAGCAAAGACATGAAGCAGAGGGCTGCCATATGGCTTCCACATTCAGCGTGAAAAGTCTCACGGCTGGGAATGATATCTCGATTTTCAAGATGCTCATGTAGATATATTTCATGACAATTAGGTAGTTAACCTCATTATTTATGAGGGAAAATTATCAAAATCCCCATGAGAGTTGCACTATTTATCATTTTACACATTTACCACTGTTCCAGCTCATGAACAAGTGTGTTTTCATGAGTATTTTGAAATTAAAGAAGAACAAAATGCGTGTAAAATGATAAATAGTATATCTTTCATAGGTATTTTGATATATCTCCCTTATTTTTAACTCCTTATTTCAAGACAGAATTTTCAGTTTGTAAGCATATGTAATTTAGACAATATTACATGCATCTACATAAAGGGGAACTGAAGTGCTTTTTGTGTTTCTGCCATTGTTCTGTGTAGTGCATTTCCTAAGGGGTTGAATGAGGTCAAAAATCATAATTTTTAAACACATATGAATGAAGATCAAATAGTGCACTTAATGGCATATTCTTGAAAGATATGTAGATATTGTCTCAAGTATGGAATTAGTGTTTCACTTAAGGGCATACATAGAGCTTTGAGACAGTAAAAACTATAGTTAACAAGTTTAGGAACATTTGGGGAAAAAATTGGATGAAGTATCTGAACATATTATACCTACCACCAGATCATAATATGCAGCATAATATTGAGGGAACTTTCCAGTTGGTCCACCAAGAGCAGTTTGTGTGGCATCCAAAAGAAGAAATATCTTTTCTCTTACAGGAAGATCAGACTGCATTACAAATAAAAAAAAATAGTCAAAGACTTGAAATTTTGCTAGCAATAGAAATACCGGCTAGTAACACAATATTTTCTATTTTTTGAGAAAAGCTAGCAACACAATATACAATCAAGTTAGAAAGTCAGAAGAGGAGGCAAAAAGAAATCTCAATAAATAGATAAACAAATAAAGATCACACAGAAACACAATACACGCCAACAGGAAGAATAAGCCATCAGATAGAGGTTGCAATTTACAAGTAACCAGGCTTGACCTTTTTCTTCACTATCTTAACCATCATAGGTAGAAGCCCTGTATCAATAACCTGCCGGTGTACATGTTCCCCACAATTATTCATCAACACTTCCAATAACTGCAGCAGAGATATAAGATTCAGATAATGGGTTAGAAACCTGTGCGGCTGGTGTTGTTCACAAGTTCATCTGACTCTTGTATCTTAAGTGTTTCAGGAAAGACAAAAGCAAGAAAAAAGAAATCAGTGTCTCAGGAAAGATGATGAGCAAGGAAATTGGAATTACTGGTACTGCAACCCTCTATTAAGAAAGAACAAAGCATGAATGGGATATTTCATCATGGTTAACTTATTACTGCAGAAATCGGATAACAATAATTCAACAAACCACATGGAAAAGCAAAGCAGCAATATATAAATCTAGAAAAGAATCACACATAAACAAATAAATTTTTAACAGTAGCAAAATAAGGTCCAAAATCACTATCATATCTAAGTTAATTAAATAAGACTACTTAGGGAGATGGATACCACAAGAACATTGCAGTGAATCAGTAAGGAGAAACAAAAAACTCAAACAGCCGAATGAATTGTATAAAGAGTAAGATGAATGTAGTCTTCTATTCTTTGATACATAGTCTTCTATTCTCAGTATCAAAGAACAGAAAACAGAACGCAAATCAGAGAACTAGTAAAGAAACTTATAATCTCTCATTAGAAGGGGGAGGGGGAAATCCAACATTACAAGAACTCATGGAGAAGCTGACTTCTTATACATATTCATCTTGAACAAGTGCACAGTCAAGTCAAGAGACTGGTAAAACCATTTGCTTTTGCTCGTGGACTATACAATTGTTGCTCTACCAAGCATTTGATGTACAGATCCAAGCATTCACATCCCGAACACAATGAGGCTTAAAATATGTACTACTAAAATATTCATCAGCCCTATCGGTGAGATTAGAAGCCTATTCAAAATTGGAGGGCAACCAAGGGAACTTCTGAAATAGAAAATACCACAAGGAATCAAACTCAACATTCTCACCTCAAAAAATGTAACTAAATGCATGTATATGTGTGTGTATGCATGTGTCGTATGTGTGTGTGAGAGCGAGTGTGTGTGTGTATGTGTGTGTGAGAGAGAGAGAAAGAGAGACCAAGCAGTGAGAGTATTGTAACAGTTCAGTCATTTGTCATGGTCAGAATTGGAGCTTTGAGAACTATTATGCCAAATTTCAGTTTTTAATATCGAGAAAGGACATGGCTCAGGGTAAAATGATCAATAGGGGCAAACAATAAACAAAACAAATGATTAATAGAGTCACAAATGCCCTAAGTTGAGTCATCTATGTACTTTTATGTTACTTTAGCAAATGGAAGTGAGAAGCTTGGAACCATTGCAAAGAAAATTACTGACTACAAAATATATGTTAAATATTCCTTAAGAAACAAGTAAATGGAAATAACCAACAGTACAGCCCCCGCTATTTCACCTTGCCTCTCCTCCCTCTCTATACAATTCATAGCTCATGAGCCCTCCATCCGCCCTATACAATCCATATCTCATGAGTTAGAAACACTAATCTTGATTTTTGATCGATTGCAGAAGGATCTGTGGAGGTGCATCTTCAAAAATGGCACAGTTATCTGCAAATGATCTCACATAGAGAATAGTGTATAGAGAAGAATGAAAAACATGTAAGTAATATTCAATAAAAGTTCACATAAGTATGTTGTCCACTATATCTCTCTTTTGTGTACAAATGTCACTATTTGAGTTGGTAATTGGAGAAATCTCCTGCTACTTTCAAGCTACTCATTAGCTACCGTATTAGGACGTCAATGTATTCAACATTCAAGCAACCCTATCTCCGATTGCAGACCCATCCAAAATCTGGAATCAATGCTTTGAGGAACAACTAATACCGGGCAAAATGAATAACTTCCAATGTATGTCCTGGATACTTAACCAGCTATTCCTCCACTTCGATTTTCATTTCTGCCTATATAGATTGCCCATCTATTATGCAGGATACTAGAGGTCCCAAATGCCACATGCTCTACCAGCATTAATGCATGACATATTCAAAACCTTCCTGCTACAAATATCTTCAGACCCCTCCAATCTCCCGTCCCCATTAAGCAAGATCTCCACTTGAACTTAATCCTTGTCAGATCATCTCGGTGTTTTAAAACTCAGACTCGGTCCTGGAAGTGGGCAGAGGCTGGAACCAGGCCTGAGCCATTGAGTTGGTCTCAGATGAGTCAAAAACAATGTCAAACAACCTAGGGAATCGGGGAGACTCGGTCGGTTCCCGAAGTTTCTCACTCAGACCCCCAAGTCCAAGATAGAATCTGCGAGTTTTTAAACACACGTTTTCCTTATTGGATAATTTCGACTGTGTGCCACCAGAAAGCCTAGAGGGACTGTGAGGAAAGCACTCGAAGTTAACTCTTATGAGGAAAGAGAACATCCATGAGTGAGAGAATATTCAGGAAAGCCTAGCAAGTTCATGTTAAAGAAACTAAGGGCACTGACATCAGCATCTGGACTCTAGCGATGATTAAATGATTCTCTAATTTGATAAATTTCTAAGCTAATTGTCTGGACATCATCAACTAGCCGAGAAAAAACCAGTGCAAGTTTGTACGGTCGTATGAAATTACAAAGGTATCCAGTTTCCACAATAACAAACACTTATGTGCACAAGATGAAGCATTGACAGTTGAGAAAAAGGCAAAACTATTAAATGAAAAATTTCATGGTTCAGGATGAGCAGAAAAGGTATCAAAAGATGCAATGAACATACAAGCATCAGCATCAGAAAGGTAAATCAAAGAATCCAAGAACTATTTCAAAATGTTAAGATCCAATTTCTTTTGTTATCGAAATCAAAAATCGGTTTGCATTTCCCACAACTTTGGGATAGTGAAGACTGAAACATATGTAGTAAGCACAATGGTACTCAACTACTCACCATAATGGAAAGTAGCTGGGTATTTGGATTCTTACTTCCCAACCGCTTTTTTATGGATTTGATGACAACTTTAACTTCCCTGCTTATCAAGGAACAACAAATTATCAATCAATATAGTGGCATAAATCAGGAGACTATCAACAAGAAAAGTATAACTGGACAAGGATTCCATGATAATGAAATTTGGGGAACAGTTGTAGCAGTTCATTATATCCATAGCACATAATGTATATCCTATGACAAACAAACCCTCAAAAGTAACACCAGCTTACTGACAAACATGTCCTCATCAAGTAATTTCCAAAAAAAAATATACTTCAAAAGTGTAGTTTGACTCAAGACATGAAAAAATTCAAGACGATCTCAACAGTTGAATTACAATGTGATCAGGAAATGCATAATGGGCAGCATAATTTCAAATTAATCTGAAATTTTCCATACCAAGAAGCAAGGGGAGAACCTCCATAGGGCAAGAGGATAAAGAAAAAAAGACGGAAGGTATAAACAAGAGTGACTCAAAAAAAGAATGGGAAAAAAAAAGGAGAGAAGCAATGAGAAAAGAGAGCTGGTGCCCAACAAAAAGAGATAGATGTCAAAGAGAACAGAACACAATGGATAGAGAATAGGGAGTGAAAGAATGCAAGGGAGAAAAGGTAACTCAGGTTTCCCTCTTCTTCTTCTTTTTTGGGGTAATTCAGTGGGGAATACAGGCCCCTACCTGTTTTTGAAAATGGTTAGTGATTTTTGAAGGTGTCAATAAGAATGGAAGCCACAAGGTGCAGCTGAGGTATGGGGGTGCTACCACACAGACCCCAGCCCCAGCCCCAGCCCCAGCCCCTTTCCCTTAGTTTCCCTCCTTTCTTTTATTAAGAAACCCTAGTGTTTTTTTAATGAAAGAGTGTTGCATGAGATAAAATAACTGTGGCAAAAGTACAGATTTTAGATGACAATCGACACTTCTAAAACTAAAATCCTAGATACAGGATGCTTTGTCACCATGAAAATCTGGGAAAGGGAAGGAAGTTTGCAATCGCAGATTCAATATATCTGCATACATTAATACAAGTAATGGCTAAGGGAACCACCGTATCTACAATATGCATCATAACACTAAAACACAACAAAATAGATACTTTTATCTATGAGATACATGCCTTTGGATTATTAAGGTTATAGATATATGACAATGAAAATTCAAAACTAATCACACACACGCACATGTATACACACAGATGTGTGTACTCACATCTGATCATTGATTGAAAACTAATCATTGATATCTATAAAAGGAAAAATATACCCTTCATTGCGACTGACTATCTCACAGATTTCAATGTTTTTGGCCCAATCAGGTTCCTTCAATGCCTCATTTGTAGCTAGATTGACAAGCTCAGCTGCCATATTCCCCAAATCACCCAAAGATCTCTTGGGCCGCAAAGTGAAAACCATGAGTTGTTACAGAAATGTATTGATGTGTACTCTCTATATCAACAAGAAAACAAATATAATGATTTCATCGGCCCTTTATTTGCTGCAGCAACCACCACAAGCTCTTCTCATCACATATTCGAGAAAAACATAATATAATGCGCATGCTTCTCAAGAAGAAAGGAGATGAATATTCACTAGACTGAGGAATAAACAAATAAAATATTGACAAATAAATGAAAAGCATGTCATAAAGAATTTAAAATTTTAGGTCATTGAAGATTCCGAAGATTTAACTCCCACCGGTATCTTGTCTACCTTGAATAGCTCAAACTCAGAATAGTAGATATATAACTTCATTCTAGTAAGATAAATAAATATTAACGATACAAAAACCTAATTAAATTCCGACCTATTTAACTCATATAAAACTTTGTCACCTTAACTCATAAGAAGAAAACCATGCATAATTCAAAAAAGAAAGAAGACTAAAACCATGTATAAAGGGAAAATTAAAAACATCTACAGTGCTGAATAACGTGATATTCCATTGTAAAATACTTTTTTATGAAGGTTATTAGCTATAAAGACTTGGAAGAACAAAATGCTTTCTACAGGAACTTGAACCATTTAGTCACAAAACAAAAAAAAAATTGAAGTTGCAAAATGATGGGCTTGATCATACCCCTTATAGCAACTTCAGATTGCTATTCATAATTACATACTCCGTTGAATTCATACCCCTTTACATTACAGATTTCTTTTTTCTTTCACAGGAAACTGACATCATTAATCACACAACATATACAACAAAACAAACGTCAAAACAACAACAACGAAGGAAGCAAAGAGAGACTGAAAAGTTATCTCAGAGGCAAGGGCATTCCTGTCAGCAGTGCAAAGGAGGACATGTTCAATCCCTTCTTGATTTATTTCTTCTCTTCATACGTTTCTTGGGGCAGATAAGCAGTGGTATTGGAACCTTGACACTACATTGTGGAGTCACCACCCTAACCAACCACCAAGTCAGGAGACCCAGTTCCCAACGTTCTACCCCTTTTTTTAACCAAGGTGCATGCACCACAGTCAGCCACCCATAAGATATGAGTAACCGGCTAATTCACAAACTTTCAAGTGTTTATGTATTCATGCCATTGGATGCAATCATGCAACTACCACGATTATATAGGGTGTGGTTTGGTGGTTAACAAATTCCATCGCATGGCCTCATATGGTTAATAGCTTATTATGGCTGAAAAATTCTCCAAAATGGGGGGTTCGAGAATGCCATAGTATGATGAGAGGGTGTGCGAACAATATTATCATGAACCGAGTTCCTAGGGTACTAAAAGTTTATTATGGTTGCATTTCATTCAGCAAAACAATTCTGAAGGTGGTTTATTTTGAGATGGTGAGGAAAGGAACTCACGTTCCTTTCGGCTGTTGGCGGAAGCAAAGACATCGCTTATTAGTTATGGGTCTTTCTATAATTAGTTATGGGTCTTTTCTATAATTAGGTAAGGTTATATATATTAGTTATGGGTCTTTCTATAATTGTTGAAGGACATTGGCTCAATGTTATTAAATACGCAATATTCTTGTGGAGGTGTTTGACATTTGACAAGATTTACTTTCAGTGCATGTAATGAGCGAGGGCAAACGGAGGCAGTTGTGCTTGGCCAATGGTGAGAAGAAGAATGGTTTTTTCTTCTTGACGTACCGCTATATGTACTTCACCTATTTGTGCATGCTTTTAGTTAATGAAATTTCTTTGCTAAAGAAAATAAATCTCAGTCATGGTAGCATACACTTCTAGATTAGATGGGCTCCATGGGAAAGCTACAAGTAAACAAGAATCATGCACTTTCAACAAATCGCAATCTATGAAACAGGTAATGAAGGCCTGGAGATAAGTGAAATAATAGCAAGTTAAGTTGCATTAACATCTTAATGCAAGTGAGTCAGCAGAACTGGCTTAAAGTAATCTTATGCAGGTTGGGCTAGTGCCCCTTTAAGTTAGGACGATGACACTACAAATATGTAGGAGTTATTAACAGCATTTTAGGTTTTGTAGATCCAACAAATAGTTCAAATGTCGATAGTTTCTTTGAATGGAAACAAGACTATGAAGAGATTAAACAAGACATGACAATATCATTTTGAAGAGCCATAATAATTGGTCCTTCCAACGGATGAGGCAGAAAGAGGGTGTGCAAGAACATAAATTTAATCATGTATATATGACATGAGCCAAACAAAGGATGATACACTGCCAATTGCAATGGCAAGACATGGAAAGCTGTGAATAATCTAGAAGCCAAATCAATATAATTTTAATTAAATGTAAGATAGTAAAACCATAAATTGGTGCTTAAGAAAAACCCAAAAGCTTTTGAAGTAATCGCTATCTAGCAAAAATAGACCACTTCTGTATGATGCAATCTTGATATATCCTGCAGTTAAGAATCAACAACCGCAATATCTCATTCTTATTTAAAAAATAGTAAAATTCAAATAATTCAAGGAAACAATAGTAAGTTTTGCAAAACGATAATTACTATTATAATGAAGTTGACGGTTTTATTGTGGTGTCGTCAAGTGATTAGTTGTAATTAAAAAAATTTATTTAGTTTGGATTCTCAATAATACATATAAATTTCTGTTATGGACGTGGTTAGCATGCAGCCAAGCTCGCGCAAGTAGAAATGCGGCCTTGGCAATAAATATATTTTTAAATATAATTTGATCCTAATTTTTAGAGAATATATAATCTTTAACATGGAGATCATGAATATGAAAAAAAAAAAATTGAAAACTAGAAATAATAATTATATTAAGAAAAGTTGAACACATAGTTCCAATTGTTTTTAGATGGACCACCTATTTGCATCCATCTTTAAGATGGATGCTTTATACCTCTAGACCGCATATTGTAGAAATGCGGTCCAGCCCACATGAAACAATTGCTCTTCTGTTATTCATCAGAAGAAAGCAGTTGCCATTTTTACGATAATTACTTGCTGCAATCGGAGTGAAAGCAAAGTAAATATTCTCCAGATTAGATTTGATTACCAGACAAGGGAATCCAGAGTAATAAAGTACAACGACCAACAAAATCCAATTTTTTTGACAATATCAAAATTTTCAAATTTATGATCTAGACACCCAAAAAGAGCATGTATGCCTCAATCCTTACCTATATATTCTAAATGAAAATTCTGTTGAATTTACTATAAACAAACCTTTCCAGAAGCAACTGCATTATTCAGAACAACGGATCATGAAGGCTTACAAATGCATATTGTGCATGGATATGAATTAAAATACCATAAATTACATAAAACAAACATAGATACGAGTCCTACTGGTAAGCAAACGTACTTATTCATGTGGATCTCAAAAAATTGAACACAAATCATCTCAAAGAAACCACCTCTAGATGTGCTAAGGACCCAAAAATCATCTCCCTCAAGCTTATCGATTGAATCATTTGAGCGTGAAAACAAAAAGAGAACAAACTACTATCAACTCAGATCAGACCAAAAGAAAAGGTAAACCAAAAAAAAAACACCCAAAATGCACAGATGAGCACACCCAAAATGCACAGATGAGCAAAGCCAACTAGTACTTCATCGTAAACTGCATGCACTGAAAGGAAAAGAATACAGCTCCCATAAAACACCAGATCATGGAAAATTCAACAAAGACATCACAAATTAAATCAGAACGTATCCCATTTAGCTGGAATTTTCTTAAAGCAAATCATAACTCACATGAAACTCCCGAAATCTCAGAATCAACCAGCAAAAACTAAAGAACCAGAGGGAAAAAAACCAGCAAAACACATCAAATCCGCCAGTAAAGGAGAAAGCGCAGAGCTCACCTTGAAGAGGAATAAAGCGAGAAGAGACAGTGAAAGCTCCTTCATCAAGGGAACTTTCGGCAAGTAAAGTGGACCTTTCTCAAAGTGCTAGGGTTTCTCTGCTTTTTCCTTTTGTGGTTTTCTTAATTTTTGTTCATTCTCTGGATTTATTTATTCTGGTTTTGGTGCTGAGAGAGTGGAAGTTTAGAGAGAGAAGAGAATGGAATTTTAGAGAGGGAAGAGAGTGTGAAGTAGTTAGAGGGAGCATGTAGAACTTAAAGAGACTGCAGTAGTTACAGAGAGATTTTAAAGAGAGAGAAATGAATTGACAGGGAAAGCGTGAGTGGCAGCGTAATCCAGAGCCGAATTTGCGTACTCCGGTTAAGAGATACACGCGCCGGTTGCCTCTCGTTGCTTGTTTCAGACACGTGTCATTCCAATAATACGACACGTGTCGTGGACGATAATATCCTTATAAATATTGCGGCGCCAGGGAAACGGGTTGAACAGGTCTTATTGAACCCGACCCGTTTGGACTTTCCACCCTATGGTCTTTGAGTAAAAACATTCCGCACACGCAATGATGTGGTGGGTAAAGAAGTAGAAGTAAATATCATACACAAGTGCTCTACATAATGATGCCCTATTTTTTAAAATCTTATTTATTTTTTATGGGAAAAATATATATATATATTAGTTTAATAGTTTCGGTTATTACCATTGTGTTTTTTTTTTTCATGTGAAAACGGAAATTTTAAAATACGATTTTACCTTTTTTCGATTGTTGAACAACCGAATTCAAAATATTTTCCGTTGTTTAACCCCCGTAAACGGCCCAATTTCTGTTTTTGAATAACCTCGATTGTTCAAGAACAGATAATTTTTTTTTCATTACCTCTCTCTCCATTATATGATAAAAATGGTTTTTTTTTAAAACTCTCTCTCCCCTTCACTTATCATTTTTTTTGTGTAAGTTCATAATCTCTGAGATTTCTCCTAAATTGAAGGGTTCAAACTAGCTATTTCCCTTTATTTTATCGGATAACCATGACTTCAAAAAGATTGAGAGAAAAATTTAGAGGTTCAAACTCGTATTTTTTTAAAATTTCCGTTTTGACATAAAAAAACATACATGATGGTAATAATGAAAACTATTCAGCAGAACCGTAATAACGGAAACTATAATAAATATGTATGTAATTTTCTATTGTTTTTACTCATATATCAATTATACACAATGACGTAATGCGTAAAGAAGTAGAGGAAGTAAATATCATACACAAATGGTGTGAATTTTGAGAATGCATTTTGAGAATGCACCGGGGTGTGGAGGTAGTACTACGGGCATCCATTCTCATTAAGACGTTGAAAATTTTGATTGTTATCCATGGTGATGGATCAAAATGATCATCTGAGCCGTATCATGACTATTTGGGCACGAATCATATTTCTGCTCAAGGATTATATCCTCCGCTTCTAGGAAATAGATGTGGTAAAAGTTTTAAGTGTATCAAGAATTATAACGTTCCAAGATTGAATGGGAACAGTCTTATTCTTGGGGTTTAAGATCTGGGTGTTCAAGAACTCAAAACCTATTTTCTTTTAAATATTGTACGGTGATATTTAACAGATGCGGTTTGTATAGAGCTGAGGCTCTAAGCAATCAAAATAAAGTACACCTTCAAATAGTGTCAAGAAATGTGGTTTCAATACTTGAAACATTTGTGATAGCCTTAAAATATATTTTCATCTCTATTCATAAAATTTAAAGCTTCAAAAATAGTGTAGATCAAATAGATCTATAAACACTTGAAAATCTTGAAAATTGACGGTCGAAAACTTTATTACAAGATGCACTATTTTAAAAACTGGAAATCTATTTTTTCTCACGTCCATGCATCTTAGGTCGAGATGATCAATTTGAGGATATTTGGGCATCAAAACAACCTCTTCTACTAAAATTTTTGAGGTGTGCCCTAATTTGATTGTTTAGAGCCTCCCACTTATATAAACTTTTCCATATTTAAATAGATCTCAAATTTTCAAATTTTCTTAAAAAAAAAACAAAAAACAAAAAACAAAAAAACAAAAACAAAAACAAATTAAAAAAAGAAAAAGGAAAAAAAAGTCATGTAGCTCTTTATGCCCAGGTTAGTTGTTTTACAGTGTACTCTCACAAGAGCATACTCATTAAAAGAAGATGTAATCAATGAGTGCAGTATAATCTTGTGTTATCTCTCTTCTTCTCTTTACATTTAATGTTTGTGCTCATGCTCTCTCGAAGTTTAACAGCCACCTCCCCTTATAAACAAATGATGATTGATTTGTACATTCTTCTACCTATTGGCCATCAATTTCTTTGCATGGCAAAGTGAAATTTGTTTTGTTTTTTTTCCAGTACGTCAATGGGGAAAAGTGGTATGTCAATGGGGATTTAGCCATCAACCTTTTGTTGAGAATGGAGTCAAAGACCTCACCATGGGGCTCGGCAATACTACCGCCAAGGCCCTAGGCCATTCTCAAGAAAATTTACTTTCAAAGCAGTAAAAGCATAGAAATTTCACTTCACTTAAGAGTCGGTTTTAAATATCTCCAATAAATGATGAATCGTGATAACATTGGGTTAAAATTAAGTTTATATACAATACGACTATTCACCTTTGGTACAAAAAGTTCATGAGTGGTTTTGGTTATTGAATGTGGCTAAGCTCAAAGTCCAAAATTAAATTTTAAGAAATTGGAACATACCCCAAATCGTCAAATTTCATATCTTGTATTATACAATCCATTCGAAGCAATTACCCCAAAACAAATCAATTATATAAGTGTAGACACCTTGACCACGATCATGAAAATTGTGGGAAACCAAAGTCACTAGAACAACTGCCTTAGAACTTGAACTAACTATAATCAATCACAAACCATACCCTAAACATCCAGACCACCTGGCAAAGTATGAAGTGTTGAGAAACGCCCCTGAAGATCAAACCAAGCAGTCCAGGACCAAGGGCTACCAGTTTGGAAGTAACCAGGAAGCAAACAACTCCAATGACATTGGGGACTTCGTCAACTACAATCCCAACTCCATTGAAAGAACCATTCTCCAGATCATCAAATCAAGCATAACAGCAAATGACAACATGTTTCTCGGGATGTGGACACCAACAGGCAGGAAATGCAGGTGACAAAGCTGCCATTTTGTCAACGAAACTGGCAAACTCGTAAGTTGCCGGCGACGAAGCTACCAATTTCGTAAATGAAACTGGCAAACTCGTCAGTTGCGGGCGACGAAGCTACCAAGTTCGTCTACAAAACTGAAAAACTTGTCAGACTCAAATCGTCAAAAACATTGTACGCAAAATCGCCCGATCTAACAGCTAACTGCCCGGTTAGATCAGAAACGGCCAGTGGCTGGTTCCGGTTTTAGGCGGTTAGGGTGATCACCCGATGTGTAAAATATAATATTCAAAATATATATATATATAAATTCTAAAAAATAAGGTATTTGATTTGCAATGTATTTTTAAATATTCTTTACATTATAGTAAAGATTAAAACTTACTTTGGTCATTAATATTTACTTTTATATTTTCTTATCTTTTTTAGAAAATTTTAAAAATAGCCCTTGGAAATTTAAAATGGGTTAAAATCCAATTTTTTCATTAATTTTCAAGTTCATTTGAATTTGTTTTGTTTTAATCATTCTTTGTATGCTTTTCATAAATTAGATTTTTTTTTGTATTTTTTTAAAAAAAATTTCAACACTTTTTTGATCTCCCGGGACTTGCTTGGTTAAAGTGGTTGAATCGGCCGGTTTACCCGTTAGGCCGGTTAAACCACTTCCAGACCTATGTCCGGTTAATTGTTCCGATTCAATTTTACGAACACTGGTAAAAAATCAACAAGACAACATGCTTCTCAGGATGTAGATGCCAATGAGCAAATATTGCAGGTGATGAAACTACCAAGTTCGTCAACAACATTGGCAAAGTCGTTAGGCTCTTACGGGTTAAATCAACCGTTAGTCGCCCAACAACCTGGACGTAAGGACTGACACGTCAGGTATCAGTATAGAAATGATACTGACAACCTCGATAGGATCGCCACCTTTGGATTTGTTGAATGAAACGTCACATCACTTGACATTGGGATGAGTGTGTCCAATGGTCGTTGACTGTAACGCAGGTGGCAAGTTCGTCAACTCCTTTCCCAACTCTGTCACCCCCTTGTTAACCAACCGCCACATGGAGAAATCCCCAGAGAGGGGCACGTGGCAATTTTCATACAAGGAATTCCTAATTTTGCTGACAGAAGTGTAAACTTCGTTGAATCTCAGACACCCTGCCCCCAAAAGCACACTATATTATAAGCTCACAGATTGCTTAATCATTAATTATACAGATCGTAATTAATGCTCAGACCCAAAAAGACGTGGTTGCAAGTAGTCCGAAAAGATATAGAGACTTATGGCATCATTGAGGGTGTGACCTTAAATAGAACAAAACAGAACATCATGATTCGTATAGTCGATCCCAATTAATTGGAAAAAGGCTATGAAGATGATGATGACCGTAATTAATACTCTGATAACACAAATGCCAATAATGTTAAAGGAATTGCCAGTTGCGCCTCAATCTGAACGACCTAGATTTAATCTCAAGTGTCAACAATGCTTAAGGAATGTGTTGGCCTATAAATAAGGGGTCGGGCCTAGGGCCTTGCCTGAGGTATTCTTCTTGTTCGTTCCCTTTCCGTGATTTTTATTTTGTTTATTTTCTTCTAATTTTGAAATTATTCAAAAAAACCCCCTCTTTTCTTACTCCAAGTTCAAATCTCTCTCCAAACTTCATATTCTAGCATGCTAGAAATCGGCTATGCCAGCCATCCGAGTGGGAGAGGGTTTTATGGCCTAAATTTTGCTCGGGTTGCAATTTGACGGGACCCATTTTCTCTGTAACTCCTTTGACAAGTTTACGCCTGAAAATGAAACAAACACCAAGTTCCTTACCGAAGATCTCTGAGTATAAACAATAAGGCCAAAATGCACTCGACATAATAGACTTAATTATTGTAGAGCTTTTAAATCTTACGAATTTTTATTTAGAATTAAATTTGACCCAAAAAAAGCCAAGATAAAAGCATTATGTGATTTGACATTTACATTCGAAGTTTTCTTAGAAGGACAAGCAAACAATAATGCGTGTGCAAATCAATACAAAGGAAAATGTATTAATAAATGAGATATCATGATGTGGAAGATATTGCAAAGTAATGGACAACCTAAAAAGAAAGAGCAATAAAATGAGAATTGACACTATGAGTCCCATGTGATAAAAGTAAATGTGAGTT